GCTAACAAATGCTCATGTTCAGTGAAATAAGATAAATACCTTGAGACAAGGGATGACTACCTAACTACTCCATCTACACAGGTGACTTTGCAGAAGCAAATCTAGTGTGTGGGTATCCCTTCTTTTAATGATGGCCAAAGACGTTAAAACAGAATGCTAGAAAGTCTTTTATTAACCACTCAAGGGTACTTAAGGTCATTCTGGGATGAAGAACAATAGTAACCACCTTGCTCTTCCCGTTTTCTTTTCCAATTGTTTTGTCGTTTTGAGACAGGGCTCACACCAGGCTGACCTGGAACTATGTGGCCCCTAACCCTCTTACCTCTGCCGCCCAGGTGCTAGCATTCCAGGCATGTGCCACTACATCCCATTTTTTTCCTTTGTATTTTAATAACCAATAGGAATCTGGGCTCTGCAGTCACACACTTTCCCCAGGGTTACAAGCAATTACAGCCACTGGCCCTGTGTTAGCAGCAGGAAAGTTGAGTGTTATCTATGTGAGCAGTGTGCGGTGGGGGTAGTACATGGCTATGCTGGAAGAATGCCCTGCACATCCACTTCAGCCAGGGTCCAGCCCTCTGTAGGGCCACAGAGCTGAGTAATGGGAAGAGATGATTCTGTATTCCTCAGATAATAGAGTGACTACTGATAGATAAGCATGTGAGGACAAGTCTTCCAGATCTTTGCTTATTAAACTTTTAAATGCTCAGAGCCTTGAAGGATTGAGAAATTCTAAATTAAAAAACAAGGAGGGTAGAAGGTGTCAAAGACACAAAAGCTCTTGTAGACACTGACCCCAAACTCATCTTAGAGTTCAAGAGAATTCAAGATATGAGGCAGAGATGTTAGACTTGTGTTAGGGGCAAAAACTTCTGGTAGTAGCTTTTGGTGACATCAATCATCAGCTCCTGTGTGCACTCTGGGAGCTCCCCTGAGAAGAGTCCTGTGGAAAGAGAGAGTATGTCAAGCAAGAGAGGGAAGTAGGGAGGTCTGCAGCTCCAACTTCTGTACAAACCCTACAGACATCTGCCTTTTGTTGTGAGGTTCCAATTTCACGATCCTTCATCTTCAGGGCTAACAAGATACTCTACTATTCATCCTTTTAGAAGATTTGAATTTACATATGGGAAACAAATACTACTGTTCTCCATATGAAGAAATATATTCCAGTTAGAAGAAGTCAGAACAGTCTTACAAAACTCAGAGTGAAGCATCTCTGACTGCTCTGGAGCTTGTCCCACACACAAGGGCTTTCCACCCCTGGGATTCTGGTGTGAGCCCCACCGAGCCAACCTTACCCTTATCCCTGAGGGTAAGAAACTACCTTCCCATTTCTACAGTGACACCCAACCCAGCATAGTGAAACCAAAGCAATGATACTAGTACAGATAGACAAGGAAGGAGGACAAGAGAAAGATCCTACAGAAAGACAAGTGATGGAGTAAGCATAGTTAAGAATTTCTGAGGTAGAGGTACTCAGAGTCACTGTGCCCACTCATGCAGATGCTTTGAAGGGCACTGTAAAACTCCCTAGCAAAGTTCACACCTTGTGGCCTGACAATCTGACTTCTAAGAATGTATCCCAGAGGTAACTGTTCTCAATTGCACAATGCATGTATCTGAGTGTCTGTACGCCAACATTTCTAATAGTGAAAACCCAGCTGTAACTTCTCATGATATGAGGAGGCTGTGCCAGTTACTTTTTGTCAATTTGACACAAACTACAGACACCTGGGAAGAGGGAACCTCCATCAGACTGGCCTGTGGGCATGTCTGCAGGGCTTTCTTGATTGCTAATCGATGTGGGAAGGCCAGTCCACTGTGGGCAGGGCCATCTCTGGGAGATGAGCCTGGGCTGTATAAGAAAAGTAGCTGAGCAAGCCAGAGGAAAGAAATCAGTAAGCAGTAGTTCCTCTGTGACCTCTGCTTCATTTATTGCCATGAGTTCCTGCTCTGGCTTCCCTCAATGATGGACTACAAGCTATAAGCCAAATAAAGTTTTTTGGTCAGTGTTTTATGATAGCAACAGAGAATTAAACTAGAACAGATGCCTTGTGGTCGATCTGTCTCTGCAGCATAAAACCTGTGACCCTTGGGAGGAATGACATGGATTTCCACACTGACATGAAAAGCTGCCCTAGGCATACTGCTAAACAAAGCCACTTTCAGGACAGTAGGGACTAAAAGAGAGTATGATTTCATTTATACAAGTACAGTTTCAAATACACATCTCATCTGTGCATACCTGCACCCACATATAAACACAAAATGTACTGCGAGTATATGTAAACATATAAAGGAACTGATACGATAAAAAAAAAAAATCTTGGGGCTGGAGAGATGGCTCAGGGGATAAGAGCACTGGCTGCTCTTTCAGAGAACTCAGGTTTGGTTTCCAGTACCCACATGGTAGTTAACAACTGTCCTTAATGCTAGTTCCGGGGGATCCAACACCTTCTTCTGGCCTATGTGGGCAATGCACACATGTAATGCACTTACATATATGCAGGCAAAACACTCATAAAACAAAAAGTAAATAAAAAAAAAGTCTTAATCTAAAATGCAAAACAAAAACCACAAAACTTGTCAGGGTGGTACATGCCTTTAATCCCAGCACCGAGGAAGCAGAGGCAGGTGGATGTCTCTGAGTCCCAGGCCAGTCTGGTTTACATAGTGAGTTTCAGGCCAATCAGGGCTACACAGTGAGTCTCTGTCTCAAAAAAAGAAAAAGAAAAACAAAACAAAACCAACAACAAAAATTGGTCCAGTGAGACGGATCAGAGGGTAAAGGTATTTGCCAAAAACCCTGATGACTCAAGTTCAATCCCTGGTGCCCAAAGCTTGTCCCCTGACTTCTAGAACATGTGTATACCCTCACACACATCACACAATAAAAAAATTTCTCATGGTTATCCACAAATTAACAATGTGTGTTAGACGTGCAAATATATGTTTGATCTTCAGAGCATTTAATCTTTTTGTAATAGACAACTTCTAAAAAATTCAGAGCTATCCCACAAAATCCCTCCTCTTAACTGCTCTTTAGGTATCAGCGCTCCTGCTCTGGGTCTGCATTAAGCAGCTATGACAAGCTCTGGCTTCAGTAATTGCATTTTCTGCCTGACTCCAGTAGCACTGGAGCTCATGGCCCCTGAGTCAGATCTGTTCTGGGTCACTTCCCTTTCCTTTTGTTCCATGGCTTAGTTTCATCCTGTATAGCACTCCAAAAATGTGCCATATTTCTGCAAATCCGTATTGGATTTAGAGATGGAGGTGCCAATAGCCTACCCATATGGCTGGCATTCATCTGTGAAACTATAAAAGACACATGGAAAGTATCTTGTCATGGTTTGAAACATTTTGGACTCTAAATAAGGCATTCAGTGACAGGGCTTTCCGCTAATCAGCTTTGACACCATGGGCAGCCCACCCTGCAAGTCTCAGTTTTCTCATTTATGGAGATCTTAATGGTCCCATGCAGCTTGCCCTCCATTAGAGCTTTCAAAAACAGTGTTTATGGGCTGGGGCAAACAGTTTATTATTGGACCTGAGATACCAAGTTTTCCCTATCTTCTGTCATTAGTGTTCAATGACCCTAAGAAGTTGGCACTAGGGCTGAAGAGATGGCTCAGAGGTCAAAAGCCTGTACTGCTCTTCCAGGGGACCTGAGTTCAGTTCCCAGCACCGACATTGGGTGGTTCACAAACTCCTAGAACTCCAGCTCCAGGGGAATCTGCTACCTCTGGTCTCCATGAGCAGCTACATTTAACGTGCACACCCACAACACACATATATAATTAAAAATAATAAAAATAAACTTTAGAAAATTGGTACTAAGGAATCTGAATAAGTTAAAAAAGATTAAGCACAACTGGGCAGACACCACATATACCAATGTGAGGGTAAGAGCGCAATAGAAATTCTCTAAAGGGAATTTTTTTTTAGACTTATTTTTATTTTACGTATATAAGTGTTTTATCTGCATGCATGTAAGTGCACCATGTATGTACAGGACCCAAAGAGGGTGTCAGATCCCCTGGAACTGGAGTTACAGACAGTTGTTAGCTGCCATGTGGGTACTGGGAACCAAACCTAGGCCCTGTAAGCCATCTCTCCCTAAGATATTTTTTTCTTTTTCTATCCAGAGCCCAGGCCAAGAGAGAAAAGCATCTCTGTACTTCCCATATGCCTGTAGCAGATTTGTTCTACAGCAAATCCTTTTGAGGATTGAGGATCTCTCTGCCATGTGTGATATGTGAATCCAAGGCTTTATTTTCTATCTCCACACAAACCCCACATCTTAAACCATCTACTGTGAAGTCAGTATTCAATATCTGCAATCTTTTTTTTTTTTCGGTCTTTTTGAAACAGGGTCTCCCTATAGCCCCAGCTGGCCTGGAACTCACTATGTAGACCAGGCTAGCCTCAAACTCAGAGATCTGCCTGCCTCTGCCTCCTTAGCACTGGGATTAAAGGCATGCACCACCACGGCCGGCAACACTTGCAATCTTACAGCCTGGGTTTCCCTTTCTCTTCATTTCTGACCTTGATAATATCCTTTTTTTCTTTTTTTGGTCGACTCAGTTATTCATTTGAAAAAGCCTGTCATATTTCAGATATCATTTCTAGATATTTTGTTATGGGAGAATTTTTAAGTTTACCGGACCAATGTATCAAAGACAGAAATCACTTTTGTGACTGGAAAAGAGAGTTTTAAGGAAGTTAGAATAAAGAATTAAGGGGCTAGAGAGATGGTTCAGCAGTTAAGAGCACTGGCTGTTCTTACAGAAGACCCAGAATTGAATCCCAGCACCCACATGGCAGCTGACAACCGTCTGTAACTCCAGTTCCAGGGGATCTGGGGTCCTCCTCTGTCCTTCACAGGCACTGCATGACACAAGTGCACTTACATGCAGGCATAACATTCATACACGTAAAAATAAATAAAAAAATAAAGACACCATTTAAAAAAAAGAATAAAGAATTAATATCAACATTACCTGGGCAACCTGAGAAGACAGTGAATGGCGGGACCACAGTTTCTGGAGGTAATACTGTGTTATCAAGAATTTTGCAGCAATCTTTCAAGACACACCGACGCCCCTGAAATTAAAATATTAATAGGAAACCAATCATGATATGGGAGTAAAACTTGTCTAGTGTGCTGTTTCGAAGGCTGTTTTATATTTCCTCTTTTCATGGCACCTTACAACAGCCAAGGACAGTGACAAGGGCATGGTTGTAATTATTTCAGATAAAATCTGACAAGGCCTAAGTATGTGAGAGTGTGTGTACATGTGCACATGTACGTTTGAAGGGAAGGTTGTATGGTACAGACAGTACAGATTATCTTGGGCACTAGAGACTATGCAAACCTTCATCTTCTGATAGCTCTGTTTTTCTCTTTATGTGGTCTAGAAGACACCTGTTGTTTTGCCCCCCTTTCTTCTGGTAACAGAGTCTGTATTTTCCTTGACCACCACCCCATCCCCATCTTGGTTCATGTGCTTCACCCCCAGCCCACACACAGACTGCAAGCTTGAGCACAGGGACTGGTTTAGGAAACTGGCATATGAGTCAAATTAAGTCTAAGGAACTTCAACCTTGGGCTTCTGCGGGGACTACAGGGAAACAAAGCACTCTCCACTGGAGTTCCCAGAAGGCAGGATGTAAGTCCACAGCAGCTGTCTTCTCCCTGCCTACAAGTGACCTCCAGAGGAAAAAGAAATGACTTATTTTCACAATATCAGTTGAATGTCTAGGCCTGCTGAATATGAAATTAGGATCTACTTCTGGACTCTTGGTTTATATTAGCTACTATGTTTGGTTTGGCACCTACCAATTTAAGACTTGTATTGTTCTTTTGCCAATTCCAAAAGAAAAAATCTTGACAAATTCACTTGGGTAGGAAGGTATTAGTTAATTTATTCTCCTACAGGAGAACAAATGGGCTGAACATTTGGGCTGAACCTTATGTTTGACTTTATCTAGTGTTACCATTTTCCAATTCTACTAGAATCCACAGCATTTTAAGAGCAAGAATTATGGTGTGGGAAACTCATCTGTTTGATAGGCTAAGGGAAAAGTTATGTATTACAGGTTAAAGTTATGCCTCAGACTACTTACTGAGCAGATCAAAGCTTCACTCTTTATTGTCTTTTTTTCTTTTTTCAATTGTGTGTATATACATGTGTATGCTGGTATGCTCACCCAGGCATGTGCATATGGAGGCCACAGATGTCTCTCTCTATCACTTTCCGCCTTATTTTCTGAGCCAGTCTCTCATTGAGCCAAGAGCTCACTTTTTTGGTTAGACTGGCTGGCCAATGAGTCCCCAGCATCCTCCTGTCTCCATCCCTCTTCAAAACACAGGAGTTAAAGGCATGTACCACCCAGCTTTTCATGGGTGCTGGAGACCCAAGCTCAGATCCTCATCCTTGCACAGCAAACCCTTTTCCCACTGAGTCATCTCCCCAGCCTATTATTGGTTTTTATCAGGCCCTATATAGTCACCTGTGCTTCTGATTAGAACAAGTTGGCAAAAATATGGGTTCTAAAACAGATAGGAGAAATGAGATTAAACAATCTGATAAAATATACCTGTCTGAGAAGGTTGAAACATAAACCAAAACAATGCTAATCTACTTAGACTTGGGATTTATCACCTATGAAATACTTTAATGTGGATATGTTCATATTCCCCTATTATTAAATATCCATACCATGTGTATTTCCAGGAAAAGGCAGGTTGCCAAATGAATTTTCTTAAAAGCTGCTTTTTTTTTTTTTTTTGGTTTTTTTGAGACAGGGTCTCCCTGTACCCCAGCTGTCCTGGAACTCACTATGTAGACCAGGCTGGCCTTGAACTCACAGAGATCTGACTGCCTCTGCCTCCTGAGTGCTGAGTGGTGGCATTTGCCACCACACCTGGCTTTAAAAGCTACTTTTAAGGTCTGAATTTCTTAAGTGGTTAAGCTGCCTCCAGCTAGATGGATAGGAGGATTGGCAGCAGTTGGCATCTTTGGCTCAGAAGCAAGTTGTAAGTACAGCTCTTCATTAATCCCTGGAAGTTCTCTCATCCATACATCAGCTACCGCTGGTGTTTTCAAAGATAGGAGCTACCTATTCTCCCTGTGAACAAGGTAATATTAACTCTAAGCTGTGATCATGCCTACACTTCTGTATTAGTTACTTTCCTGTTGCTGTTATAGAAACACCATGACCAAAGGAACTTATAAAAGGAAGAGTTTATTTAGCTTACAATTCCAAAGGGGCAGAAGTCAATCATGGAGGGTAGGCAAGTGGCAGAGGTGGCTACAGTAGGAGTAGAAGCTACGCTCTCACATCTTCAAGTAGGCACACAAAGCAGAGGGTGACTGGGGGTCTGGCAAGGCTTAAGAACTCTCTAAGCCAGCCCTCAGTGACTGTTTCCTCCAGCATAGCCACACCTTCTAAGTCCTCCCAAAACAAGACCACCACCTGGGGACAAAATGTCCAAATACTTGGAGCCTATGGTGGACATTCTCATTCAAACCACCACAACTCCTAATCCCCAAGACAAAGCACCTGGGAACAGGATGTGCTGTGTAAGGCATGGCATGTTCCCACACAGGGATCCATGAAAAAAGGCCCCTAGGAAAGAACAGCAGGAAGGAATCTTTTACTGTCTACCTTCAGCTATCAGACAGCCTGCAGCCCGCTCTGTACACAAATTGGCATCCTACTCACTTAGAAAAATAAATTGAAATGGGTTTCAGGAGCATTCTGGATTAACTGATTAATTTGAAGCAATATAAAGAATGCAGGTATTTTAAGGCATGCACAGTTTGGTAATAGCTGAGGGAAGGAGAAATTGCTTCTTTATTCTTCTTCCAAGGAGGAACCAGAAACTGCAGCTATGCTGCTAGCACTACAGCTGCCTAGATAACTTTATGCAAGTAAGTTATTGGTTTCCTCACCTGGGAAACAGGACGTAAAGCCAAACCAACAGTGATGCTACAAGGATTGGATTAGAGATGATAAACATAAAACCCACAGAGCAGTAATGTCTTATGTATTACTTGGTAAACTTTTCCTTTTAGCATATGGCAATTTTGTCATATTGTAAGCTGTTGTTAGACTATCACATGGGACACTTTAGAAAGGATTTGTAGCCTGCCATGTCTCTCTCTCTCTCTCTCTCTCTCTCTCTCTCTCACACTCACACACACACACACACACACGCACACACACACACACACACACAAATGAATTCCTCTGCAGCAAGAATGTTTGGCAGAATCACTGCCCTTACTTCCAGGTGAAGACAGATTAGAACTGTTTTCACATTAACTCCCTGCTCTTCCACTGTCCATCTTTGCTGTGTCCTTAGCTCCTGGAATATGAACTGAATGGTTTATGATACTTTAGGGTCTGACTCTTATCCAGAGCAGAGAGCTGGCTCTGTATTTTTGAGAGTGACCATTAAATAAATATTGATGTGGTTCTTGGCTTTTCCTATAATCTAGTCTGAGGTACACATCTAAATGTCTTTAGGCAGATGAGCTCTGGTCATCAACATTCTCACCTAGTATGTTCTCAGAAACCCCAACAAACATTAGGTTCTTCATCTATGAAACAAGAAATCCAAACCATGGCTGTGTGAAATAGACTGATGCCTAGTAGGCTCCTACGGACCAGGGTCTTCCAGGGGCTGCTGAGCCAGGGTCCTATTTGCACCGTGCAATACCTGCAGTCCCCTAACAATATATGTCAACCCCTTCCTGAAATACCCAGGCTCTCACTGTCTTCTGTGACAGCCAATTTGTCCCTTCCTCATTAGACTGTAAGTTTTTGAGATAAGGCAAAACATAGCCCATGTGCTTCATATTGCAGGGATTTAAATCCGCTCTGTCACTTACTTTGTCACAACCCCAAACATCTATGGTTCTCAGGCCTCTTATCTGTGAACAGGAATAATGACAATTCTGACAACCTTGGGGTGGTACAAGGATTAAATGAAGTAACTGAAGGAAAAGAAGTTTGGTGTGAATGTTTGTGTAGGTATGTTTATGTGTGGGTGCATGTGTGTACATGTTCCTACTGAGACCAGGGGTCAACCTTGGGTGTTATTCCTCAGGTTTTGTTCACCTTGGTCATTTTTTTTTTTTTTTTTTTTTTTTTTTGACAAGTCTCTCACTGGCCTGACGCTTCCTAAGCTGACTGGCCAGGGAACCCTAGGGATTTGCCTGTTTCTTCCTCCTCAGCTCTGGGATAACAAGTGCATGCTACTACACCTGGCCCTTTTACATGGGTTCTGGGAATTAAACTCAGGTCTTCTTTCTTTCATGGAGACACTTTACCAACTGAGTAATCTTCCCAGCCTCAGGAAAAGTTTTACATCACAGGAACATTATATGGAAGCATGAAAGAGGTTCAATAAAGGCTAGACATTATTACTTGGTTTTGTTTTGTTTTGTTTTGTTTTGTGTGTGTGTGCTGTGTCTTTGCAGTATTGGGGAATCAAACCTAAAGCCTCATACAAGCTAGGTAAGCACCCTACCACTGATCTAGATCCCCAGCTATTACTATTAAATGCTTGGGGGGGGGGCGGTAAAAAGAGACCCAGATCCAGTAAGAAAAACCTAACCCTAGAAAAACTGGAAATGACACCTACCTTGCTATAGAACCAGAGTTGCACTGAAGGGAGTAGGGAAGTACGGGGAGATGGGGGCTTCTCAGACAGATGAGTCACTAGGTTGGATAGCTTCAGTTCAAACTGATACACTGGGAAGAGGAAACATAAACTGGAGAATTTTCTCTATCAGATTGGCCTGTGGGCATGTTGGTGAAGCATGTTCTCGACTGTTGAGCGATGTGGGAGGGCCCAGGCCACTTATGGGTGTGTCTGCTCCTGGGCAGGTGATCCTGTATTGTATAAAAAAGCAAGCTGAGCTCTGGCCAGAGGAACAAGCCAGTAAGCAGCATTCCTCCATGGTCTCTGCTGCAGCTCCTGCCTCCAGGTTCCTGCTTGAGCTCCTGCCTGACTTCCCTCAAAGCCACCATTAAAGCCACAGTTCCCTGATGAACTGTGATCAAGACATGTAAGCACATAAACTCTTCCTCTCCAACCTAGTTTTGGCCAGTGTTTCATTCCAGCAACCCAAATTAAACTAAAACTGTCACCATACTCACAATCACACAGTTCTTGCCAACATGGACATAAGAACCAATTTGAGCAGCGTTGACCACACAGTCTTCTTCAATAAAGACATGGTCCCCGATATGTAAAGGAAAGAATGCAACACTGAAAAAGAAAAAGATAAATGTCAAGGTGATAGACTTAGGGGAAAGGTTTATAAACCTACACATCATAATCTCAATATTTGTTTACTTGTTTTAACTTTTAAATTATTTATTACTTATTTGTGTAAGTGCATGTTCATAAATGTGCACGTGGGGCATGTGTAGAGGTCAAAGGACAACTTGGGAGAGTTGGTTCTCTTCTTGTGGGTCCTAGGGTTTAAACTTAGGTAGTCAAGCTTGGTGGCAAGCACCTTTACCTGCTGAGCCATCTCACCAGACCATATTTATTTATTCATCTATTTATTTTGATATAGTCTTTATATGTGGCCTAGGCTAGCCTAGAACTTGTTTTACAGCCCAAGCTGTCCTCAAAACTCTTGATCCTCTAGTCTCAGCTTCCTGAGGATTACAGGCACATACCACCCCCCTTAGCTTCCTTTCATCTTATCTCAGGATTAATGTTCCTAGAAAGGAAACAATCCTGGGACCATAGAAATCCCTAATGTTGAAACCAACAAATCAGGTTACCAGCCCCAAATAAGAATTATTGCACTAAAGGAACGTGCAAGGAAACAGTAAAGTAGAACAGGTAAGACCTTCAAAGTACCAAATTCAAAGGAATGAGTGCTTTCCCCGTTTCACTGTCTCTGGCAGTGCTCACAGATCATGTTTTTAGTAATCTGTTTCAGGGACTGACAAGTTCATGGACTATCAGTTTCAACACCCAACATGTTAAAATTTTTTTCTTTAAAGACAGGGTTTCATGTAGTATAGACTGGCTTGAACTTGCTACATAGCAGAGGATGACTTTGAAGTTCTGATTCTCCTGCCTCTGGATTACAGATGTGTGGCACTACAAGCAGTTTGTGTAGTGCTGGGATTGAATCTAGGGCATTATACAAGCTAGGCAGGTACTCTGCATCCCTTAAAAACAAAAATTTTTTTTGGTCTTTTGAGACAGGGTCTCCCTGTAGGCCCAGCTGGCCTGGAACTCTCTCTGTAGACCAGGCTGGCTTCGATCTCAGAGATCTACCTGCCTCTGCCTCCCAAGTGCTGGGATTAAAGCCACCATGTCCAGCTTAGCATACAACAGTCTTAAATTTTATGCATTTACCATACTTACTGAGTTCCTACTGTGTACCAGACTCTATTCTAGTACCTGGAGATACAAGGGTAAGCAAAAAGATAGCTTACCATGAGGAGCATATAATCAAGGAGAAACAAGATTAAGTAAACGACTGTTCTCCTCACTAGTTACAGTTGTGATAATGCTACAAACACAATACCAAGTTATTAGAGTAGATAACAAGGACACTTTACCTAGACAGGTCTTTGGGGAAAGCTTGACTGAAAGTGGTATTTAAGGCAAAGACCTGGAAGATGAACAGGAGCTAACAGTCTTTCTCCAGACTTCTGACACTGTTCCCATTCTCCAAAATTCCCCCAAATGTTACTGAAAGTGCCTCTATGATAGCATTTATTAGACAGTATTTTAAATCCGTAGACTAGAGAGATCAGATATAAAGTAGTTATTTGCTCAGTAATTCTTTCCAGCCCTGTTCTACAAGTATTTTTCAGAAACAGAATCTATCCTCCGTGACCCAAGGTTTATTTAAATTGTGTTAATTTATTTATTCTTATTTTTTAAAGATTTATTTATTTTTCTTTTATGTGTATGAGTGTTTTGCCTGCACATATGCAAGAGGGTGTCAAGTCTCCTGAACTTGGAATTACTGACAGCTGTGAGCCACCATGTGGGTGCTGGAAGAGCCAGTACTCTTAATTGCTGAACCATCTCTCCAAGCCCACAAACAACAATTTTTAAAATCCAACATTCTAACACAGTGAGAAAAAAGTGCTAACAAAGATGTGCTAATCTGATAATTACACACTAAGGAATGACTACAGGAAAATACTGCAAATTTACTTTCTGCAATTAAACCATATGCAGTAGTTTCAAATCTGAGCAGAGGTGTTTCAAGCAGCATTGGTTGATACTGCATGGCATGATGGCATGTGTAGTGTAAAGTGCCCATGTTATGTGTTCAGAACCAAGGCTGCACAGAAGTCAAATGATGTACCATGAGCAAGTGCTGCCAGAAACACCTGGATTCATCACACATTTGATTCTGAATTAACATTTGGTTGTTGCATGTTCAGAAGCCTTTTGCTACTGCCAAATTTTTCATAACCCTCCAGATTCAGTTGGGTTATGTGCTGGATAGCTTTAGTGTCAACTTGACATATCTGGGTTGAAGAAGCTTCAACTAGGGAATTGCTTCTATTGAACTGGCCTGTGGCCATGTCTATGGGGCAGCTTCTTGATTGTTGAGTGATACGGGCAGGCCCAACCCCCTGTGGGTGGTGCCACCCCTGGGCAGGTGGGCCAGTGTTGCATAAGAGAGCAGGCTGAGCAGGGGCCAGGGGAACAAGCCAGTAAGCAGTGTTCCTCCATGGCCTGTGCTCCAGCTCCTGCCTCCAGGTTCTTGCCCTGATTTCCTACCTTGGGCTCCCTGATGAACTGTGACCTGGGCGATGTAAGATAAATAAACCCTTTCCTCCCCAAATTGGTAGTGGTCAGAGTGTTTTGTCACAGCAATGAAGAAACAAACTAGGACAGGTTACATGCCACAGCTTAAGCTGTGGGATACAGCAATACTGATAGTTCTTTAACTATAAATTAAAAATTCCAGATTTCCAGTCAGGTGTGGTGGCACATGCCTTTAGTCCCAGCAGGAGGAGGCAGAGGCAGGCAGATCACTGTGAGTTGGAGGCCAGCCTAGTCTACATAGTGAGTTCCAGGCCAGCCAGTGCTATATTTTGAAACTCTGTTTCAAAAAAGCAAAAATAAAACAAAACAAAAATTCCAAATGTCCAGCATTATCTGATTGTGGAATGATATGCAAGGGGGAAATCTACTTTTGCCTTGACTCATGTTTTACTATTTATACTTTCTTGTTTCTGTATTTCTCAAATGGACTATTCCTACTTAAATATCTTTCCATTTCACCAATAAACCCCTGCTGTTCTTGGTACTTTCCTGGGCCATAACCAGTCCAGTAATGCCATGATCAGAAGGTAGAGTCAGCAAGCCTAGCAGTATGCCAGCCACTGTATGAATCCACAAGAGGGTACCATAGGGTTTTCTGCCTTTGCTCCTAAGTACACATCCTAAGCTCCTGAGTGAATTTTCCAAGTGAATGATTTACAATAACTGCCTGATGCAATTTCTATTTGTAATGGAAAACTTGGAATCCAACAGCATTATAGGAACCATGGGGGAACTGTCTTAATCACTACCGACTATGAGACTTTTAAGGCTGAAACTCTGCTTCACTCATTCTCCTGTACAACTCATCTCACAACCCAGTGGCTAGCACAGAGAACATACTCATTAAATGCATGCTGATGCACTGGAGGAATGAGGTGGAGTCACAGGTAGAGTCAGGAAGACAATTTGTCAAGGAAGAGAGAGGCAAAAAGAGTATGACCATCACAGGCATGAAGGTCAGTTTCCTGTTCTGTCCAGTCTTCTTAGACTGTCCTTACTCCCACCAAGAGATCAGTAGGCCTGACTTTACCCTGTCATGGTCAGAGATGTTTAGACAAGGTGTGGGTATTTAACTCAAGTTAAGCCAATCAGATTTATTCTCCTAAGAATTGGAAATAAGACATAAGATCTCTGGTCCGTATCTGTTGGAAACATAAATGGGGGAGTCATATAAACAAGGGGCTACAGCAGCAAGGTGGGCTCCATGAGCAAAGAGGACAGATACAGCCAAGCTGAAGAAGAGAAGAAAGCAAAATTACAGAGAACAGACAGAACAATCTTGGTGACAGGGTGGCAGAATAGGTGTCTTGACTGTGTGTAGCTATCCAGTAGCAAGTCCTAGTCTAGGCTGGCCCTGTTTCTACTCTAAGATTTCATCAACTATGCCTGTGTTAAATTAGGACCCATTTTGATCTTTCTTTTAAAAAAACTGGGGGGTGGGCACATGCCATGGTGAGTATGTAGAGGTCAGAGGATGATGTGTGGAAGTTGACGCTCTCCCTCCACCATGAAAGTCCTGAGATTGAACTCAGGTCGTCATGCTTAGAGCACAAACTTTAACTTGTTGAGCTATCTCTCTGGTCTTTGTTTTTATTTTTCTAGAAGATTCTGTTTCTGCTAACTGTAAACCAGATTACAGGAACCACCCAGAGTTGTATTCATTATATTAATTTTTGTGAGCGCTTTCTCAGTGCCCCAAACACAGAAAACCGACCCATTACACAATTCAGCATATGGACACTGCAATATCACCAGGAGTGGTACCTTGCCCAGGACTGGAAAGATAATTAAATCATATACCCTTTGCTGAATTTCTTGAATGGTGGTCTTATGACACTACGACTCTTCACAACACAATGGCGTCCAACTCTTACATTTGCCAGATCTCCTCGGATGATGCAGTCATTCATTACAATGGTCTATAAAATGAAAGCACATTTTAAAAAGTATCAATGTAACCTAAGCACACCAACACAAAAGGACAGTTAACAGAACACTGAATTATGCTGTGATCTATAGCATCAAATGAACTGCAAAAGCAATAACTTGTAAGATGAAAGGAGACCTGGCCTGAGCATTGACTGTAGTACATTCCAAGCTTTGACCTTAATACTGCATTAGGGCTCACTGAATGAACATGTACTGGGTATACACACAGCAGACCAGTAAAACCTCTCTCTCTAGATTCATTCAGATACACCTGCAGGCCTCTAAGCCTTGGCTGCTTGAGCAAACTGTCCTGCCTGCTCCTTCTCACAAAGGTGTGTGTGTACAGCTACATCTGGCCAGATTTCCTATTTTTTTTTTTTGAAAAAAGCTCAGAAGCTCTGGAAATAGAGGTCTGTGTTCTCACTGGTAAGAACAAGCTTGTGCAGAGATTGGTCATGCATTCTCCAACTCACCAGGGCCTACCACTCTCTACTGTTCAGTTTTCTTCATTCATTTGACCCTTTTCTACTCCTGCAGGCTCTGTGACACATGATAACAAAGGCCCAGGAAAACAGAAATGACAGAATTATCAGGGGAGGCTGAGGTAGGATGATTGCTACAAGTTCAAGGCCAACCTGGGCTACAGAATGAGATTTTGTCTCAGAAAACAGTGACAAAAGTTCTAACAGGGTGAAGAGGGGCTAGAGAGATGACTCAGCAGTTAAGAGCACTTACTACTCTTAACAGAGAACCAAGGATCAGTTCCCAGCATCCACATGGCAGCTCATAACTGTCCTTAATTCCAGTTCCAGGGGATCTGGCACCCTCTTCTGACCTCTGCAGGCACCAGACATGCACGTGGTACATTTATATGCAGGCAAAACACTTATAAGCATAAAATAAAAATAAAAAATAAAGTTCCAGCTGGGTGTGGTGGCACACGCCTTTAATCCCAGCACTTAGGAGGCAGAAATAGGTGGATCTGTGTGAGTTTGAGGCCAATCTGGTCTCCATAGTGAATCCAGCTGTGGCTACAGGGAGACCCTGTCTCAAAAAAACCAAAAGAGAAATAAAAATAAAAAAATAAAGTTCTAAAAGGGAGAAGATTCAAAATATAAATGGGTTATTTATAATAGCAAACCAACTGAAATGAATGAAACCAACATGAATGTGAGTTATGTGAAACTGAACACAGCAATGACACATACACACACCCCAGTGGACCTTGGAAATGGCAGAACCATGGTACTTAGTGTGATGTAAGTGTTCCCTATTATCATTACAATAATCATTGTCACAGCCAGGCATGGTGGCTTGCTCCTGTAATCCCACCACAAGGGAAGCTGAGCAGGAGGACTGCTGGAAGGCTGAAGCCAGTATGGGCTACACAGTAAGTTCCAAGCCAGCTGGACTACAGAATAAGTAGTGTGTCTCAAAAACACAAACAGGGGAGGTGTGGGTAGGGGGGGAATCTAAATATCATCAAATTATATTGCATATAAATTGCAAAATTTAAATTAAAAAATTAAAATTAAAATTGAAACGCCGGGCGTGGTGGTGCACGCCTTTAATCCCAGCACTTGGGAGGTAGAGGCAGGCGGATCTCTGTGAGTTCAAGGTCAGCCTGGTCTGCATAACAATGTTATGATCTTGGGGCTAGAAAGCTATGGCCCATGGGCTAAATCTAGACCATTTCTTGTTTTGTGTTAAAGTTTTATTAGAAAGCACAAAAAGGGGCTGAAGAGATGGCTCAGAGGTCAAGAGTACTGACTGCTCTTGCAGAAGACCCAGGTTTGATTCCCAGCACCCACATGGTGGCTAACAACCAACTGTAACTCCAGTTCCAGGGAATCTGACACCTTCTCATCTCAGTGGGCATTGCACAACATGGGTGCACTTACATACATGTAGGCAATACACTCATACACATAAAACAACAATATTTTTAAAAAAGAAAGCGTATTAATAAAAAAAAAAGAAAGAAAAAAACAAAAAGTATGTCACAGAAAACCAAGTACAGTTAGACACTATATATTGTTCAGGGATATGTATATGAAACTGAAGAGTCAGGCATGGTGGCACATGCCTTTAATCCCAGCACTCAGGAGGCAGAGGCAGCCAGATCGCCATGAGATTGAGGCCAATTTGATCTACATATCAAGTTCCACATCAGCTGGGGCTACAGAAAGACCCTGTCTCAAAAAAAAGAAAAAAATATATAATAATAGTAAAGAAGAGTTTTTAGACACAAAATTCAGGACAACAGTTTCTTCTTCGAAGGAGGCAAAAGAACGAGAAGGAAGGAAGGAAAAGGTAGAACTTGTTCCAGTTCTCTGGCTCGTAGTGGGTTCGTGGGTATTGATTTGCTTTTTTTAAAAAATATTTTTTTTATTTTATGTGCATGCGTGTATTGCCTGAGTGTAGGTAAATGCACCCATGTCGTACTATGCCCGTGGAGGTCAGAAGAGGCTGTCGGATCCCCTGGGACTGGAGTTACAGACAGTTGTTAGCCGCCCTGTGGGTGCTGGGATTTGAACCCGTCTTCTGAAAGAACAGCCAGTGTTCTTAAGTGCTGAGCCATCTCTGCAGCCCCTTTTTTAAAAAAAAAAAATTTATTATTTTTATTTTATGTGTATGCATGTACTGCCTGCATGTATGTAAATGCACCTGTGTCGTGCAATGCTCTTGGACAGAAGAGACTGTTGGATCCCCTGGAACTGGAGTTACGGGCAGTTATTAGCTACCATGTGGGTGCTGAGATTCAAACCTGGGTCTTCTGCAAGAACAGCCAGTGTTCTTAACCTCAGAGCCATCTCTCCAGCCCCTAATTTGCTTTTTATGTTGCTTAATATATCTTATATATGCAATTTGGGTATCAAATATTACCAAATAAAACATCTTTTTAAAAAGAGAGCCTTTGCGAAGTGGGGGAAATCAACCAAAATGAACTATGTAGGAAAATCTCATATGGAAACTTAAAATGGGCAGGTGAGATGGCTCAGCAGATAAAGACACCTACCACAAAGCCTGGTGACCTGAGTTTAATCTTCAGAACCCACATGGTGGGAAAACAGAACTGACTGCAGCTAGGTATCTTCTGACCTTCACATGCATGTCCCCCACCTCACACAAAATAAAATATAAAATGTAAAAAAAAATGCTTAAAAGAAACCTGTTACTTTGTAAGCTCGTTTTTAAAATAAAATGGTTAAGAACACTGGTTGTTCTTACAGAACACCTGGGTTCGAATCCCAGCACCCACATGGCAGCTAAAAACTGTCCGTAACTCTAGTCCCAGGGGATCCGACAGCCTCTTCTGACCTCTGCAGGCATTACACGACATCGGTACACTTACCTACATGCAGGCAATACATGAATACACATAAAATAAAAATAATAAATAAAATTTAAAAGAAAAAGAGCTGACTTCCTGTCATGATGGCCTTGATGTGACGTTCCAAAGGGGGAAGGGCAGAGTCTCCTAGACCCATAAAAATAATAATTTTTTTAAAGTTTTAAACTAAAAATATTTTTAAATTTTTTTCTGAGAAAATGGTTCAGTGAATAAAGTGCTTGCAAACTGTTTGGATCTCCAGAACCTATATAAATAGGGGGTGGGCATGGCTGCCCAGTAACTCCAGTACTTCAAAGCCGAGACAGAAGATTCCCAGAGCAAGCTAGTCATATTGGTGAGGTGTGGGTTCAACTGAGAGACTCTGCCTCAATGAGTAAGATGGAGGGTGATCAATGAAAACTCCCAATGTCAGTCTTGGGCCTCTACATACATTGGCACACACATGTGCAGCCACATACATGTGAACATGCATATACACCTGCATGCCATATACACATACAAAATAAATAAAATAAAGAGAAAGAGAAAGCCTTGGGACTGGGAATGTAGCTCAGTCAGATGCATGCACAAAGCCCTGGGTAGGATTCCTAGCACCATATAAGAACTGGGCACATACCATCCTTGGCTACACAGTGAATTTGAGGACAGTCTGGGCTACATGAGACTCTGTCTTAAAAACCAGAAGACAGAGACAGAGACAGAGAGACTGACAGACACTGCCTGAATGTGGTGGTAGGTACCTGTAATTTCACACTCAGGAGACAAAGGTGGGTCCACAAGTATAGGCCAGCCTATGCTACATAATCTGGACCTTATCTCAAAAATTAAACAAAGCAGAGAAGTGCTTGAATAGAGAAAAAAAAGTTGGAGAACTCATATGTTCTAATTAAAAAAACTTAACTACAGGGCTGGCAAGATGGCTCAGCAGGTAAAGGCATTTGCTACCCATCAAGCCTAATGATCCGAGTTTGAGCCCTGGAACCTTCATGGTAGAAGGAGAGAATTGATTCTTATCACCACATGTGCCCTGTGTCCCCTAGCTCCTGCCACATATACACAATGAATAAACAAATATAATTCAGAACCACCTAACTACAAAGCTAAGTGTGGTGGAACAGGACTATAATTCCGATGCTTGAGAAACTGAAGCAGGACTGAGAGTCTGAGGCTGGCCTGGGCTACAGAGTAAGCCTTATCTCAAAACCAGAAAACAAGTCCTTTAATCCCAGTGCTTGGGAGGCAGAGGCAGGTGGATCTCTGTGAGTTCAAAGCCCACCTGGTCTACATAGGGAGTTCCAGGCTAGCTGGGGCTAAAGGGAGACCCTGTCTCAAAAAGACACCCCTCCCCCCCAAAAAACCCAGAAAACAAAAAACAGCACAGGCCTGGAAAGACAGTTCAGCTCTTGCAGAGAACCAGGATTCAGTTCCCAGCACCAATATGGTAGCTGACAACAGTCTTTAACTACAGTTCCAGAGGATTTGACACCCTCTTCTGGCCTCCTCAGACACCTGCATGCACATGGTACACTTACACAAAAGCAGGCAAAACACTCATACACATTAAATAAAAATAACTCTTAAAGGGGCTGGAGAGATGGCTCAGTGGTTAAGAACACTGGCTGTTCTTGCAGAAGACCCAGCCTCAAATCCCAGCACCCACACGGCAGCTAACAACTGTCTGTAACTCCAATCCCAGGGGATCTGACAGCCTCTTCTGACATCCGAGGGCAATGCAGGACACAGGTGCACTTACCTATATGCACAGGAAATACACACATACACATAAAAATAAAAATAAAAATAAAAAACAGGCCAGATGTGGTGGCGCATGCCTTTGATTCTAGCACTTGGGAGGCACAGGCAGGCGGATCTCTGAGTTCAAGGCCAGCCTGATCTACACAGTGAATGCCAGGCTAGCTGGGGCTACAGGGAGACGCTGTCTCAAAAAGGCCAAAAAAAAAAATACATAAATAAAACAAATTAAAATCAGCAGCCCTCAGCCAGGGCTGTGAACTACCACCTGTTTTCTCACTCATACTACCTAGATGGCCTTCAGTGCAAGTCACAAACCTACTCCATCGCCACGTGGGTGCTGGGATTCGAACCCGGGACTTCTGCAAGAACAACCAGTATTCTTAACCACTGAGCCATCTCTCCAGCCCCAAGTTCTTTATTTTAAAAACATTTTAAGCTTGTGCTGGGGCTGGTGTTCAGCTACTCAGGAGGCAGAGGCAGCTGGATCTCTAGGAGAGGCCAGCCTGGTGTACATAAGTTCCAGGCCAAGAGGCCTGCCAGGGCTGCCTATATAAATAATTTTAAAACAAAAAACAAAAAAATGAAGAAAAAGAGATGACGGTATAGATAGCACAGTTATGAATTGTTTACCTACCATGTGAGAGGCCCTAGATTCAATCTTCAGTATTGCTAAGTAAGTAAATAAGACATACATAAATTTTTTGTGTATCAAAGGACATTGTCAAAGAGGGAAAAAAAACCAATTCCAGAATGGGAAAAATATTTGCTAATCCTGAGTCTGATAAGGATTTAATATTCAGAGTACACTAAAATCTCCTATAACTCAAAAAAACACAATATAATCTAAAAAATGGCAAAGAGTTGAACAGACATTTCTGTAAAGAAGATATACAAATGGCCAAGGTACACATGAAAATATATTCAACATCATTAGTCATGAAAGAAACACAAATCAAAACCACACTAAGCTACTATTTCATGCCCACTAGGATGTGGAGAAACTGGAACCCTGGGCACTGCTGATGGGAACGCAAGATAGTGTGGCCAGTGTGGAAACACAGAATCACTATCTGACCCAGCAGTTCCACATGTAAGTACATTCAATCAACTGAAGTTAGAGACTTGAATAGATACTTGTACAACAACGTTCACTACAGCTTATCCACAACAGCCAGAAGGAAGAAACGACCTAAGTGTCTGTGAACAGAAAAATGTATAAACAAATGTGGGATGCACAAACAAAAGAACAGTATTAGCTATGGAAAGGAATAGAGTTCTAAAATGACACAGCATGGATGAATCTTACTTATGCTTTGTGTCCCGGGCACACTACAACATTGTAGAATAATTTTACCATTGTATTTTGTTTTGGTACAAAGGGATATTCTCTTTTTTTTCATTTTAAAAAAATGCATAAAAAATGTACCTAACATAATGAAAATGCTATATAACTACAGTATTGAGAAAATAATGATAGGGCCCAGTATGGTGGCGCACACCTTTAATCCCAGTACTCAGGAAGCAGAAGCAGGTAGATCTCTGTGAGTTCAAGACCAGCCTGGTCTACATAGTGAGTTCAAGGCCAGTTGGGGCTATAGGGAGACCCAGTCTCAAAACAAAACAACAACAACAACAAAGCCCAAAGTTTTTATTTATGTGTATTTGTGTTTGCCTGAATCCTTCTACCTCCCTGCCCTGTCCCTCCCCCACTGTGTCCTTCCCCATTTCATGTCCTATGTCTTCAGTTACCCTCCCCAACCTCTTCTTTAAAGCCTCTTTATTCCCCCATGGTAAGGGCCCCATACTAATTTCTGGATTCTCCTCATCTGATATTCTCCTTTGAACATTTTTGTATATTGAATAAATCTAATTTGCTTAAGAAAAAAGAAAAAAAAAACAAGAATAGGAAATGTACAACAGACATGATAAATTTTCTCTATCCTGCTAATGTGGCAATTAGTGGGAATCAATCACAGGTGTGCACTCTGGAGCGGCCTTCTGTGCCTTACCTTGCCATTGAGAACAATGTTCTGGCTTCCACACAACACAGACTGGCGACTAACTTTGTTCCCAGATGCCTGAAAAGAAACAGAAAACTTGGCTGAACAATCTGAGAGGGTTACTAGGCTATAGGTGTTCGCCAAGAAACCTCATACTGCAGAGAAAATAACTTTAAATGAATAGTAGTATAACATAGGATGGGGGCTGGGGTATGATACTGCACACCTACAATCCCAGCTCTTGGCAGGATTATGAGTTTGAAGTTAGCCAGAAACGCACAGTTGAGAGACCCAGTCTCCAAAAACCAAAATAGGGAAGGGAGGGAGGGAGGGAGGGAGAGGGGACAAGGGAGGGGAGCGAAGGCTTGGGCCTAGCTCAGTGGTACAATGTCCTGGTTTTGATCCACAGTAACCCCAACACATAAAATAGAATTAATCTGAGATAGCGAAAGAGCAAGGATGGATTAGGAACTAAAAGTTCAAGAAATGGATTCAGAATTTCTATCTGGTTGATCTAAAGTTTAGTGACCACAGGCAGACAGATGTGCATTCCAACCCCAGTTCCATGCTTCGGGTTTTATAGCCCTAAATGAGGATAATGACTCTACCATAATCATGATTGTGAGAATATGAAGAAAAAATGATAGTAACTTTAATTGGGCACTTACTTTGTTTCCAGCATTTTATGCATGTTATTGTGTTGACTATTAGAAACCTAATAACTTTTTAGCATGCTAATGGGCTATGAAATATTATTTTAAAAAAAGTTTCACCCTTATAGATGTGGTGGCTCATGCCTTTAACCCAACACTGAGGAGGCAGAGGCAAGCAGATCTCTGTGAGATCAAGGCCAGTCTGGTCTACATAGCAAGATCCAGGCTAGCTGGGGCTACAAGGACATCCTTTCTTAAAAAAAAAAAATAAATAAAACACCAAAGTTTTAAAGGAAGGGCCCAAAGCCTGAAGCTGTAATTAATATTAGGATGGATAGGATCTGTTCTGTATTCCAGACGATACTTTATCTCTACAGGAAAATCAGCGATATTTTATATATATATACACACACA